AGTTTGTTGGGGCCCTTGGCAAAGTTAATTGGGGGCCCCTCCAACCACCATTATGTCGGCCAGTGTCCAGACGCACTTATTCTTTTTTTCACTCCCAGACATATAATTCCTCTTCATTTTCCTTCTGTGTCTTTCATTGACAAACATTTGGTTTTCACAGGACTAATGTATAAGATGCTGACAGCAGGGCAATGAGAGTGAGGGCTGTCAGATGGGGCCCCATTGGGGAGGTTTCCTACTGTCATTGCAAAATTTGCACATTTTGAGCTACTTCTGCTTTTTTAAGTTTGTCAGCCTTCAAGAGCCCCTTACTAGCCTGGGGCCGCCCAAGCAGTTGCCTTCCCTTCCTGTTGACAAGCAGTGCCTCTGTCAATATGGAGGTATCTACTTGGTCACATAACAACAAGTAGGAATATACAGTAGGTGGAAGATCAGAGAAACTGTATAGGTTCACCATTTAACAATTTGAAAAAGTTAATAAGTAAGTTTGAATTATCAAATTAAATGGTAAATACATTTTTTATGAAAGGTCTTAAGCCATGTTGGGTCTTCAGGCAGCCAGGTCTGAGATAAGTTAACTCTTTCACAAAGAACAAAGTTTTGAAGTCGCCGATTTTGTGACATAAATCTGGCTCAAGACTTGTAGGTGACACGACGCATTTGAATACTTTGAAAACACATTCTGCATTCTTCCTGGACACTATCTGAATAGGTCTGAAGTAGCTCACTTATATTGTGCTACGTAGTGTCAAAGCAAGCAGAATAATCTGGACATACTGTTTGACTGAGGTCTGCAGGCCACCTCTCAGAGTGCTGGCATCTAAACTGAACTGCACGACGATAAACAGTCACAGTGCTGAGTCACTTCTCTGGATTCACACTCCTCGGTCTGGCCTCGACTAGTTTCCACATCGACATCATTCTCTGCTGATGATTCAGCCTTACTACACAGGCCCTTGTCATGCCATAGACTTGTCCTGAGTTTAGGAGAGACGTCTGCAGGGGTAAACACAGAGCGAGCTAATCCTCATCATGTTTCCCGAGCTTGAATTAATCATCGGCAGGGTCTCCTCGCAGCTCTCAAGGCGGTGTCAGCCATGCCATGTCAGATAAGGCCGGTTACCTCTGATGTGCTGAGCGGAAAGAGCAGGCCAGCCAGGTTGCATTTTGCTGACTGGCTGGAACCACATGTCAGCCTGAATGCAGTTTCCTTAAGAGGCTGATACTGCCCTCATCAAGGAACGTGTTTCCCTGATCCTATTGCCTGCATCTCCTCAAATTGTGGGCTACCAAATGGTCAGGTCTGTTTTGCTCTGGGAGGGGAAGAATGTCCTGTTTGTACACAAGCCAAGCAAAACAATCTCATGTGATCTGTCCTAAATATCCACTCACACACATATGATCGCTAAGTCATCCACATGTCTCTGCCAGCGAACAGAACAGGATCAGTCCCAGCCATGAATGCACCCAACAAAACACATTGTTCCATCAAAAAGAAAAAAAAAGAGCAGCTGCACCATTGTGGATGGTGGATAATCTGGCAGCCAGTGCCTTCATGGATTTGTGCTCATGAGTATTCCTGCTTTGTGGACGGGTGTGAAGAGCAGTTTGCATAAGAGGATCACATCCGTAATGGTGTAATTCAGAATTCTTGCACAACATCTTCAGGAGTGGGTGGGCTAAAGTGGTCCCTTAACTAGAGGACCATCACTTCAGGAAGGTGCCAGCACAGAGGGATTACCAACAGGAGCAGGAATTAGGGACGAGATGGAGGAAAAAGGAAACAAGGACCTAGAGGAGAATAAAGGCGTGTGAACAGTGGAGGATATGAAAAGACTGAAAAATATGAATCCAATCAAAGAGTTTCCAGTCGCTAAAAAGTATAAAAAAGCATTCCCTGGGGCGCCGGTAGCTAAGTGGTTAGTGCACACGCACAATGTACAGAGGCTTAAGTCCTTGAGAGCGTGCATCCCAGGTTCAAATTGAACCTGTGACTTTTTCGCTAGTCGTTCCCCTCTCTCTCTCTCTCGCCAGTGTTTGACTCTATCCACTGTCTCATCTCTAAAATAAAGGCCTGAAAATCGTAAAATGACAAACTCCTAACAAACTTAGGTTAACGGGTTTGAGGTTTAAGTTGACGATTACACTTTGGGAAATAATAGTTTTTCTCTTCCTGGCCGTGGTCTTCATGAAAAGATCAATCCCAAGCTAAAAAGTTAGCTCAACATCAAACATATTGCATCTAGTCACATAAAAAAAGATACAACTTGGCAGCCATGTTTTCACTTTGGAGAGAGAAAGGCTATTTGCCCCATAATTACGTGCTAAGCTAATCAATTAGGTTGTTGTTAGAAAATACTTCAGAATGGAAGTGAAAAACTCGATACTATTTCTAAGTGTGTGTTTGCACAGAATATTGCTAGGTTAGGTTTGAATATTGTGAGGTTTCATAGAAATCCGTCCCCTTTTCACATTATTACATTGATGTCATTGGCATTAAGTGGTCTGCTTAGTGAGTACACCGGGAATTCAAAGGGGATTAAACTCATTCATCCTCCAATCCACACAAATGAATGAAAACACACCACCAAGATGCAGCTTTCTGAGTGCAACTTCGTGCCAATGAGTACAGTATGAGCGGCAGAGTGAGGGGTGCGCACCCTGGAGCCAGGTTATGGACTGATGCTCCGACATAAATCGTTTTGACAGATTGGCAGGGCACTTGTTGAGTTGAGAGCAAATCTCTCGCTGGGCCTCTAGGGGGCAGAGCTGCCTCGATGCCCCAGGCGGACTCTGCCCTGCGCTGGTGGCTTAGCTGCTCGTTACATTAAAACAGGGGCTTCTGTGACAGAGTCAGCATTATGAAGGCTAAGAGGATTAGCTGATGGACATTTCTGGCGTCCATGGTCAATTATCAAAATGAAAAGCAGCGACTGGGCAGGGCTGGCATGCTCTGTGGCACTGAAGAGCTCCTCTACTCCTCCTCCTCTTCTCGAGCTCTCTATCTCTCACTCCGCTTGTTGTCACAGGTTACTGAGGGAGGGAGGGTTGGAGGGGGAAAGAAATAAAGGCATTATTTCTGAACATGAAAGTTTTGAGTGTCTCTCTCTCTCTCTCTCTCTCTGTGTGAGCCACGGATTAAAAGAGAGCATTTAAATTTTAATGTTTCTAAAGTGCAAAACTGTATGTTATGCAACTGTATGAAAACAGGCCGGCACGTCAGCCTGCCATCCGTGCTCAAGTCTAACTCCTCCAACCATGTGCATGATGAACATCCCTCCACATAAACACACTCTCCCACTTCTGTGTGTGTGTGTGTGTGTGTGTGTGTGTGTGTGTGTGTGTGTGTGTGTGTGTGTGTGTGTGTGTGTGTGTTATGACTGCTTACCAGGCTATCAATGTAGGAGGAGTCTCCCCCACTATGATGCACAACATGTGATGTTGGGGAGTTTGGGATGATGAAGAGGAGTTGTAAAGAGGCAGAGAAAGAAGAGGGGGTTGTTTCGGTGTATCCATAAAAGTAGCATTCTGCAGCTGCCCGTGTTAAGGATCTACCCCGGGGATTCACACAACGCTGCAAACGTAATCAACTGAGTCAATGTGCCACCTCGGCTGCAGAGGACACATCGCTCCAGCAAAAAATTACACCCCCAACCTCAGCTCCATCCACGAACCGCCAGCGACATCCCCGCTTATCGCCCCGACTTTCTAATACACCGGTTAGACCTCAGTGGAGCACAGCGGAGGTGAGGCTGTATATCCATGTGTGCCAGAAAAAGATAAGAAAACACTACTGAAGCGTTTCTTCTTTTCTTTTTTTTTTTACCCTAGTACAAACAGCCAGAGAGGTAAACAGTTTTTTTTTTTTGGGTGTTGAGAAACAGTTGCCTAAAATAAAAAGCGATGGATGTTAATCCTCGCTTGCTCCATACCTATCAGGCTGAATAATATCCAATCCCAGTTATCACTTCAGGGACTATGTCATCTCACTGCTGTATTACTGATGCTCCTGCTGCATGGGCAGACTTGATATGGGTTATTCAGAGGCAGGTTAGATACAGCTGAAAAATGTCTCCATCTGGTGTTAACTCAGTTACTAGTTGACTAGTAGGTAGGAGAAATGTGTGGTAGTAAACAGAGTGAAACATGTTTCAGTACCTTAGTTTGAGCAGTATTTTTAGTTTAAGATAATGCATCAAAATGAAAAGGTGAATTCCACTCATGTACAGTTCACCTGATGAATACTAATATTTAGCCACGAGTCAGCTGTTTCTTCTGACTCTGGTGAGAATGTTTAGAATATTTAGAAGACTACCTCGATGATGTCATTAGGGTTATCTCAGTTCAGACATTGAATGTATGACATGATGTCTCCTGCTTTACAAGCTGCTTTTGTTATCAAACAGGGCAATGTTGAATAAAAGTTTATGAAAGATGCTATCAAAATTGCATCATGGGAAACGTAGTATAACGGTGGTTTTGTAACGACCTCAACATGTGAATAGACTTAGTATATGTTTTGATTTCAGTGTTAGGTGTGTTCATTTTACAAGCCCTCAGGGGGTTATTTTTATGTAGATTTATTTTTTTGTCTTCTTGTTTATTTTGCACATATAAAGAACTGAGAACTGAATAACTAAGAGGTTTTACTGAGGATATTTAGAATTTGCTGTTTTGAGTTTGAACTAGTCTGACTCTTGTAAGGGCTCAAAAAGAACAAGTTACTTCACTTTTATATTGTCTGTGTCAGTTCAGTTGAATTTATGTCCAGTGTCCAAACTCTGTTCAAAATATATACACTTTGTCTTATCTTATATTTGACTGAACAAACTATGGTGTGAACAACTGAAATTGAAAGTTAAGGAAGGGAATCAGACTGAGCTTAAGATTTGGGACATGGCTTTGATGCCAACGAGTTTTACCGACTGAAGTGTTGATGTTCAATACTCGGATCTATCAGTGGATCTCTGAGACAAACTTGAACAGTGATTCAAATTTTGAAAAAAAAAAATGGTTTTAATGACAGAATTGGAGGGGAGACGCATCACTTACGATGTTTCTGTACAGTGGGCTGAATTGAGTAATGAACCTTACGATTGTTCGTACAGAGAGGTTAGTCACCTGCCTCTCACATTATGAAAACAAACTAACAATAAAAAAGTTACCTTGAACAAAATTATAAAAGGGGAAAATTTACAACAAGGTTTGCAGTGAAACCGCAAGAGCAGCCCGTGAGTGTGTTTGACTCTTCTCCTCTCAGTAAAGTCCTCTGTGAGGATTGTCTCTGTATTGCTGTGGTTAACTCTCTGCGGCGTGTCCTCCTCCTCCTCCTCCTCCTCCTGATGCTGCTGCTATACCACAGCATACTGCTGATACAGCAGCTCCCGGATCTTATAGTAGTCGTCACACAGGCAGCCTTCCAAGCCAATGCGTCCGGCCTCCGTCTGGACAAAGAGTATAGAGATGCAGGCGGTCACAAGAGTCCACACATCACACTCATTTACACTTTGTTCAACATGGTTTCACCTTTAAACACAGATGTACTGTGATGCTGTAGCGCTCGCTCTGACCTTTACAATAAAAAAAAGGGACTCTCATTTGTTTCCCACAGATGTTCACAGATTTTGAGATTTGAATGTCTAATGAGTCAATCCACTTCAAAGATTTTAAATAGCACACAGACACACACCCCTTTAAAAAGTCTCACTTCTCTTTGATTCCACTTTCTGGGTTGCTCCTATTTTAAGTTCTTCTCAATTATGCATTTTGTTGTTGGTGTCCTGACTCACTTCTACTTTTTCTTTTCCTTCACTTCTTAAGTTCTGCCTGTGATTTTTTTTTCTCTGTCTCCTGAAGAGAGATGTTCTCATGTGCCTCTGGGGTTTTTTATCCCACTTAGGCAAGCTGCGTTTGTTTACTCTTTGTGTTTAATGATCCAGTTTGTGTTAAGAGCTGATATTTTATTTTGCAATATAAAGTAATTACGTTGACCTCTAATAAAGATTCATTACATTTGCAACTTGTGGGCAAAGGTCAGCCCTTAAAACAACCTCAATGTGGCCCTTTAACTATTTATAAAAAGGTGAAAATGTAATCTTAGAAAAACAATGAATCTCCTGCTCTCGACACAGGCCGTAGTTTGCTACAGGTCAGTTTACTGGTCGGCACATTGTTTGAATATTTCACACAAATCCACGTTATGAGTCAGCCCATTCATTTGTTATGCCTGTTGTCAGTACAGGTATGAATATATTTGCTAAAGATGTAGCCCAAGCTACAGAAGGCATCGTTATTTTACAGATTTACAGTTGATCATTGCAGATCTATTATTATTATTATAGTATTATATTAAAATGTTCCTTCAAATAAGCGTGTGTCTGATCTTAATCTGTGAGCGCCTGCTGCTCTGTTTTTAGTTTAAAAAACTAGCACTTATCCTGTCTGAATCAAACAACCAATCAGGGTACGCTTTCACATAACCAGCCGATCACAGCAACTCTGCACAAACTAGTATCATCAAGCTTCAACGTGACTTGTGTTGGCAGCTCTCTCTCTCTTTCTCACTCAACAGCTACTGCATATGGTACGGAAGCCCTAAGAGGACATACAACCATACATTTGAATTTACTTTAATTTGTCGTCATGGCAATAACTTGTCACTTGTTTCCTTGAGAAGTCGCAGAGAAGTGTTTGAGAAGTTTGTTCGCAAACACAAATCATTCTTAATGCTTCCAGTCATCAAACTGCAGTAACTACAGTCTAATCTTTTAGTAAACAACATCACACAAAGCCAGCTACAATGAAATGCTGACATTTTGATGCATCGCCAATACATCCTAAAAATGACATTGAAGTACTAAATCTACAACTCGCATTGCTTCTGCCGTGTTTCCATAAATTCCAGACTAAGCTGCTTTATTTCTTAAAGCACTGACTGTTCAGGATGCATAATTCATTCATCCAACTTAAGTGAGAATGTTTACACATGTTCACAGCACTTTTCCTACGATTAATGGGAACTATTTCCACTTCCTGTTGTGGCTCAGTCAACATAAACTCAGGCAATAAATACTCAAATCACTGGAAATGTATTAAGTCTGCACCTATGTGTGGCAGTGATGAATCTCTGCAAGTTCTTTCTAAGGCGTCTAAAGTGTACTCCGTTGTACATGCAGATAATAGATTGATAAAGATGTATCCTTTCTGATAAGCCTTCTTGTTCTCTTCTCTTGTACTCTTCCTTCTGTTATGTGTTTTTTTAAAGGTCCTTCAATTCTTATTTCTTTCAATTTCCCTCAAACACTGGCTACGAATCAAAGATCTAAATATGAATCACTATGGAGTTCTTTGATTGCGGGGTTTTGGCTGAAACACAAGGCTGTGCCATATGTCTTCCACGCTGGCTTGGTTACAATTTTTTTTTCCAAGCGTCGCAGGGAACCGATGGATATCACGCTCGCTTAGCCCGTGGGAAGGACACTCACCCTGCGGACAGCCACCATGTTGTTGCACACCAGCACTCCTCCTACGAACTCGGCCTGGATGCCCTCTCTCAGCAGGACCTGCTTGAAGTCAGACAGGCGTGGCTCGTTGATGAACACCGACTGATGCCCTGAAATCTGCAGGGAGAAAAGAAGAGAGCGGCGGTCAGACTGATGGCGGTACTCGATTGCTTGTTTGCCCTTGTGGAACACATAGTACAGGAAACATATTACAAAGTGTGAAGTCTTCGTGCGCAAGAACACGACTTTTTATCCGCTGGCATTGGTTGTCTGACTTTCACTGTGCAAATGATGTACATAGAGAGTTTGACAGCAGACGGCAGTTTTCTCATTAATCTGCTGCAGGGGGGAACGTTTCTTCGAGCTCACCTTGAATCTCAAATTAAAGTGTGTTTGCACATGCATGATTAGTGACTTAACAACTAAAACATGAGCCAATTATGATCCCATTTACAACCAACACAAGTGTGATGAGGACAAGTGAAGCCATTAGCACACAGAATATGCTTCTCTGTAATAAGAGAAACATATTTTTTTCCACCAGCACTTAAAGCTTCTGTGAGGACTGGATATGAAGCAGACTGAAATTAATCCTGAGGCCTCTTAATGACCTATAAATGCAAACAAGAAGATCGATTATTTCTTTGTAGTTATTTATAACTCCTGCTGTCACTGCCACACAGTAGATGTCAGACCAGGCAATTAACAGTTTGCTGCTAATATGACCTCTCTTGCATTTCCCCCAGCAAAGAATCATGAATGGAGTCGGCATGAGAGTAATTCTGTTTCTGACTGTAAAAATGAAGCTGGATGAGAATTTTCATCAGAAAATATTACTTAAACATGTAAAGGACAACATAAGTAACCAAGCAACAACGAGCCCTAGTGAGAAATGTTCTGAAACTACGGTTATTGGGGGTTGCCAGCGCAAAAAAAAAAAAAATCTTAGTGGACACATTCAGCAATTTTTTAACGAAGTGGTTAGATTTTTCAGAGTGACAAAAAGAAGGCACTAAATATTCTGAGGATGGAGCAGAAAATGTTCCAAAAATCAGTAATAATGACAACAACTTTGTTTGACAGTGTCCCCCGCCTGACCTCAGTGTGAGGCAGAGGCTCCAGCGTGGGAATGACGTCGCTCTCCTCAGAAACCTCCTTCTCATCCTCCCCGAACAGGCTCTTCATGGCTCGCTGGGCTGCCACCGCTGCAGCGCTGTGGTCGATGCCAAGATCTGGGGCCACTTCCATGGCCATTTCGCCTTCCTCTGACTCCTCTTTCGCCCCCTCCTCCAGCATCACTCCCATGTCCACCTTCACCACCCGCATGTCCAGCACGCCATCGATCCAGGCCAGCTCAGTGTCTTTGGCTTTGCAGAACTGAAGCGAGCTCACCAAGGAGTCTTTCAACCGCACCTTTGGTATGATGAATGAGACAAGATGATGCATTAGCCTGACATTTAGGATGGATTTTATGCTTCAATCTTATATTAAAGAAACAACCGTAATACCTCAGTCTTCAAAGGGTTAGAAAAATAAGAACTTTGAAAAAAAAATCATCACCCTTACCGTGTAGATTTTAAAATCTACATAACATATTTAAGGGATCATTTATTCTAAACCACTGCTGACCTGGTAGATGTGTGTTTCACTGGTGGCGTCCACAGTCTCCTGCAGTTTGGGCGTGTACACTTTGATGTCCTTGCTGAAAGCTCTGCAGGAATCAGCCAGGTCCAGGCTGGCCTCCGGCGGCCCATGAACGATCACCAGCTGTCTGGGCTTCATCTGGTTAATAATCTTCTTGATGGAGTCGCCATCAGAGCGACCTTCGTAGTCAATGTAGGACACCCTCGCCCTGCAGAAGAAGAAAAAAAAAAAAAACAGAAGAACGCTTCGTCAATACCAGAAAAGTAAAACATTCAATGATAGATTTGTTATTTATGAATTTAAGGTTTGCAGAGTACTCATTTACAGCAGCTGGCTATCCAATAGGATGCTGTAATATTGGACACTGATCAGCTGCAGTGAGTGTATAAGGGCAAAAACTACAAATAAGATGGCATGTCAATTTAAATCTATACTAGTTGATAAATCAAAAGTTAAGAAATCATTCAGAGAACAGTCAGAATTCAGCACAATTGATCTAACACAGCTAAACAAGGGATCACAGCTTCTATGAACAATGTCTGATTGGTTTGCAGTGTGTAAGCACTAGCAGTGCAATGCCAGCCTTCAGTCCTCCTTGCAGTTTAACGTCCACTGCCTGAGTTGCTAACGTATTCCTCCAGTTGAGTGGTTATATGATAGTTTAACCTGACACAGCCTACATGAAACTTTATCTCTGTCTTCTTGATCAAAATACAGCCAAACCATTCTGTGCTAAAGCAGAGCACAGTGCTGGTTTACATCCAGATTGAAGAGCAGGGAGTGACGCAGCTGCTGCCCCCTAGTGGCAGGGAGTTGTGTTACAGCTCAGACACAACACTTAACCTGCATGATGGGCCTGAGTTTATAAAAATGGTAATTAGTTAACTCGTGATTCTGGTCAGGACTATGAGAGATGACAATGTTTAATCCTTTAGTCCACTAATTTCGCACATCCCGAGAAGGGAAACCGAACCAGACAGTTTAAAGACTAACTGACCTGATTTCCAGATTTTCTATGCTTGAGATGCACTTCGTAGGAACAACAGATAAATCCTGGTCCATGGGTTCATCACCGTTCGTCAACCCAGATTCCAACTTGTTTTTCTCCTCCTCTGTGGCTTGTAGCTCAGGAACCAGAAACTCTTCTAGCCTGTAACAGAACAATAACAATCCGTTGAAGATTCCTGATAATCTAGATCAGTGTACGTTTCTGTATCTTTCTATAATCGATGTTCAGAGATTGTACTACCTGATAATTTCCCCGTACTCGTCCCACTTAATTCTCTCTTCATGTGTGGGGAACATGGGATACGATTTTTTGGCTTGCTTGAAGAAGCTGCCCTTGCGGCTCCCCTCAGCCTTCATCATCAGGTCATGGTGTTTGGTTTTCACTGCCGCTGGCTGATCCAGATCATCGTCCATGTCGCTCTCGTCGCTGGAGTCGACATCCACTCTGCAGGTGCAAGAAACAGAAATTAATTCTTCCGAAAACACTGCAGAGTTTAACTGTGTGTTTAAGTGTTAAAACTCCTCTCCATTTTACAGATTTACATTTTAACTACTTGTTTTAAATGTGTAGTTAAACCATTATTTCCATGTATGTGCGCTTTTAACATAATTTGCTTTTTTCTGTGCTGTTAACAGGCCCTGAAAATAAATCAATGAAATGTCTTGTTTCACCAACAGACATAAAAGACGAGACATTTAGCTCTAAAACACCAAGTAACTGTTTCTGCATGAACTTACTCTTTTTCTTGTTCCAGCTTTTTAGCCGCTTCTTTCTTTATTTTATCTTTCTCAAGGAATTCTTCAAGATCCTTGCCTTCAAGCTTCACTCTTTTCCTCACCTGTCATAATGAGGAGAGAGAGAAATATGAATATAGAGCAAATGATAGAATTACACATTTTGTTGTAACCTCGGCTGGGTCTTTGTGTGAGAAACATGAGATATTTTAAAAAAGAATCCTACAATCACAATTCCTTGTGATTGGTTGTATCTGTTTTCAGTTGGAAATACAGCTCGACACGGCAGCTAGATACTACCGAAGTTCTTGTTTCAGAGGGAATTTAAGCAATGGGTACTTCTTGGACACAAACCTGCTTTTATTTTGAAAGACAATTATGAACTTCCAGCAGATCGAAGGTTACAACATTAACTTAACCACGTAAAAAGAAACTTGTCACATATCGAAAAGTAAATGAAAGCAGCTAATGGGAATGGTGAAAAAGTAAGATATTTGAAGTCACAAGGTGAATATTACTTTTGACTTGACAACATAGTGTTCGAGGAGGTTTTTAAAGTGAAGTAATTCAAAAGATGCAGCATGGTTGTTATTTTCCATCACTGTGACTACAGGGAGACGTTGCGGTGGCTTACCTACAGCGCGCATAAAGGGACAAAATAGCACATGTTAATTTCAGACCTTCGCATCACAATTAACGCGTTAACGCAGACAACTCTACTAAAAAAACTCTTCTTGTTAAAGTCAATCGGCAGCATTATTGTGACAGTCACCTCCAGATCCAGCATCTTCTCTCCGGGGTTGTCGATGAGGTAGCGAGCGAGGGTTCCAGGTGTTGTGCGGTAAGTCAGGATCACAGAGTTTTTGGCGTCTTGGCACCACTGGATGAAGAGTTCTCTGGAAAAGCCAGACTCAAGGTCGGGCTGGCTGCAGAGTACCACTTTAGGGCTGGGCACTCGGGCCAGGTCTGTCAGACTGTGGCAGAGCGTCAGGTGACGAAACTGGAACGGGTTGTTTCTTTTGTCTTCAAAACATCTCATGAGCTTATCACTCATCCACTCCACCTACAGAAAGACGGGAGAACAACAATGAATACTGGTGAAATGCAGCTGAATAAATACCGTGAAAGAATTTGATGCTACATCTGTGCACCGATGTTACCATTTAAAATTTGAAAAAAATGTACACTATTTTGGATTAAAGTGATTCTATTTCAACAATCTAAACAACCATCATGCTAAATCATCGACTCAAGAATAGAGCACAATCATCTGTAATGTCAAAATCCATGATTGATACCTGAGACTTGGAGAACTCCACCACGTTATAGCTGACATTGTTCAGCAGAGCGAGTGGGTAAACTCCCAGCCCAGCATCCTTTGTCCTCCAAATCTGATCCAGCAGCTGAGCCAGCTCCAGCACGCGTCCAGCTGTATCCACGGCAATAAGGACATTGCCGTCACCGCGCAGAGTCTCCATTACGTTAGCTGAGAAGTAAAAGTGAGGATAGTTTTTAATATACACAACAATGCGATCTATTACGATGATTTTCTTATTAAGCAGTTTTACAGAAAAGGAGGAAGGGCAGAAAATCTAATATGTATGGAATAAATTAAGGAAGTTGTATTTAATGTCAACTCTTTCCAATGGCAAGGATCTTAAACAACTTAAAGAATTGTTACTGTTTCAGGCAGTATTTAAAAATACAAACACCATCATCAAGAAAAGCAGGAGATAACTTAAACGTACTAAATAAGGATCGCTAGCCTAATTTATTAGATGATTGCAATTATCCTAAATAGTTATTCTACTGTAATAAATGTTCCATTAAATGCATTGAGATGAGGTTTGTAAAATCACTTACTTAGCAGCATCTCATCTCTTTGTTTACGACGGGGCTGCACATATGTAGCATTGAAGGAGTCTGTGATAAGTAAAGAAGGACGACTGATGCTCTCCAGTGTGCAGCCGTTGAGGTGGCTGGAATAGAGAAACAGGAAAGAAGGGCAAATGAAATACTTTGCTCAACCTAAACAAAAACAAAATGCATTACACATGAATTTTTATTCTGTGCTCACATCTCTCTCTTGTGGTTGAAGTCCACAGCATACACAATCTCCTCTTCCCCGTCCTTAACAATTTTCCAAATAGTGCCTCCGATCATGTGACCGGCGGGAAGAGGCGTGATGGAGAGACCATGGCCTTTTCCTGGCAGGTAGAAATAAAAGATATTAAACACTTTGTTATCTCTGATACATGAATACAGGGTCCTCTTGTTTTACCTCGAAGAATCTGTAATCAACTTACCTTTAAGATTGACAATCTGAGAATATTTCAGCTGCTGAATTTTATCAAAAGCACAGTCCACATCATCGAGGGTGAAGAGTTTGAAATCTTCACTGTTGTTTCGAGACTAAATGGAAAGAAGAATGAGATTTCGATAAACACGGGTAATCACAGTGTTTCCCCTCCCATTATATATTTTTTAAGATTTATTTTTGGACTTTTTGTGTCTTTATTGTAGGGATAGGATAGTGGATAGAGTTGGAAATCAGTTAAAGAAGTCATTTAAGGATACCTTTCTGATAGAAAAGGAAAGCTGTCATTAAAAGTAACACATGAACACCAAGATTCCTTCAAATGTTTGTGTCGCCGTGTCGGCATGTCGGCTTGTCCCCACCCCCCCCAACACCTTAAACCTAGAGGAAACACTGAATCATGAAGTCAAGCGCTTTGATAAATAACATGGATGATATTTCTTACCTGGTAAAGATCATACATGAACATCTGACCCATCTTGTAAACAGGGATTGTAGCATAGATAGTACAGTTTAGACCCAGTTTCCCCACAGCATACGGCAGGGCTCCAAGGTGAATGGGGTCAGGGTGGGAGAGGAGCACAGCGTCGACCTGATGAACATATCTGCAGGGAAAATGGACGTTACAGCTCTTAGAAAATAATCCTTTAAGATAAGATAAACTTTATTCATCTCAGCAGGGAAATTTAGGTGTTCCAGCAGCCAGCATACATACAAACACACAACACATATATACACACATATCCCACCCATACAAAAAACATGAGCCCACAATACATAGCCAGGATGAAAAAAAGTGGTCTGGATGGTCCATGTGCATAAGTAGATGTTACTCATAGATAACAGTACAAAATACTAGCTCTGCCAGTGCATAATATGATAGAGAAATAAAGAATTATTATTTTAAAAAAAGCAGAATATACAGGTGCAAAATACAGTTTGATATATGCAGCTCAGGCTAAAGTTTAAAAGTTTAAAAGTCTTCTGTCCTCACTTAAAGGGGAGTCGTTATAAAGTGCAATTGCATTAGGTAAAAAATCTGTCCTTTTTGCAGCTTAGCCTCCCACTAAAAACACTCTTTTGTTCACACACGAGATTGTGTAAGGGATGCATGTTATTGTCCATAATGTTCAACAGTTTCTGCATCATTTACTGACTCCACATTGGGCATCAATGGAAACAAACGATGTTAAATCACCGTTTCATGGCATCAATGATGTCCATTGAGAAGTTCTCATCCCAGCCACAGTCCAGAGGAAGCGGAATTCATCCACCTGCAGAAGGTAACAGAGAGCCGACTCCTCCTGAACACCTGACACGGCTGTCAGCTTGATAATGGACGTCATGTTTCTTCAGGTGTCACACTGAAACAAACAGCAACAACACTTTGCAATTAAACCAACACATTATTCAAAAAGCAACACAAGCTCGAATGTTAAATTGAACAATATTAAAGAATGACATTGCAGTGCACGATTCAAGTGGTTAAAAAAATAAAATAATAATAAAGTAGCAGGCTTGTCGAGCAGAAAATGAATGAAAAGGTAAACAGTTAGCTTGTTAGCTAAAGCTAGTTCGCTTAGGCTAACACAAATCGCCCGGCAAAGTCTTTTTGTTTTTGCAACATTTGAGATCGCTTTTAAAGACGAATTGAGTCGAAGTGGGAGCATTTGACTTACCATAAATGACTATATGATCAATTTCCTCCTGTCGGGAATAGAAACGCAGCTTGAGGAGTATCTATAAAGCCAACATTAAGACATTTTTTGCCGTCGTTTTTTTTTTGTTTTCACATACACACTTGACTAGCAGGCATGTTAGCCACAGCGTCATGAGTCAAAGGCCGAGGAGCGTACTAAGTGTAGGGGTGTTAAATTATCAAACAAAAACAAAAAATACTTCATTTAATTTCATACGGTTTTTTACATTTATAATTGTACATTGCGATTCCACATGTTTGCATTGATAAGAAAATCTCACCAAAAAGCAGATGGGGACGTGAAAGCAGTTTTTTTGTTTTTCTGTATAGTTCAAATAAGACCGTCCTCCTGTCAGAGTTGGTACAGTCCAGTGTCCTCTGCTTTGCTGAGTGAAGCGCTGAAGGCCACGGCTTGGAGTAAACACAAGGTAATATTGTAGGTATTTCTACGCTGTGTCTATATATTTTTTTTCCCAGTATTGTAACACGTGTTAAGTGTGCTTTAATATAACTTACTTCTAACAGAGACACCTTTCTCAGCGAAGATCTGAGACCTATTTGCTAATGATAGTCAGCTAACAGTGAAGCTAACTAGTACGAGCAGACTTGAGGGCACTTCGTGGGTGTAGTCAGCACTTCAAAGCTTATTTTGTGGGTGGATAACATGTAAATCACCGCGTAAATAGCTGTAGATATTCAGCAGTTGTGTGGTGTGCTATAGTGCATTTTATAAGACTTGTTAAGGTTTCGAAATGAAACTCTTGTGTAACCAATTTACGAGGTTCTGTGTCTCACAAAACGATTCAAACAATTCATCAAATATCTAAACAAGTCAAGGTCTTAGTCTGCAGAGTGACAAGCTCGACCAAAGGTTAAAGACATAGCTTCAGTCATGCATGTGTTATATGTAGGCTGTACAGAGATTTACATACATACATCACATCAAAACAATGTTTAATTTGTGCAGTTTTATGGGGTTCCTGTATGTAGAGATGAACAGTTATTATTGTCACCCTGTCTGGTAATCGTTTTTACTAAAGAGTTTATTGTGAAATAAATACAAGTGCAGAACATAGTGAGGGAGGACAGTGAATACAGTTGTGCACTAATCAAACAGCAGGGTATTAAACAAATGAGCAAAAACAAACACTGTAAGAAAGAAAGGACGATAAATAAAATTTGATGGCCTTGAAGAAGGTAGCTAGTAAGGATGAGAGGGGAATGTATGAAGAAGCATCTGTGATGGGTCGGTGTGTTTAAGGGGATGGCTGAGGTTGGTCGCTGTTGTAAGGGTTTAGGTCTGAAGCTTGGTTGCTGATGGTATGATGGTAGAATAGGCTTTGAATGATGAACATGATAATGTGTCTGGCACAGGAACATTAGGAAGGAGCCTGACAACTGCAGGGTCCAGTCAGTTGTAGTAGGATCTGGGGCGATATGGACCAAAACTCATATCTTGATATTGATTAGCTGAATGGCGATACTCGATATATATCGATATGTATTTTATTAACAGTGAAAACACATGGAAAAATAAACTACCTGGTTGTGAATTTAAAAAAGTAATATTACTTTTACTAGAGAGAGAGGAGGAGCGGGGTTAAGAGGGACAGACAGTCTTCATCAGTGAGATGAGAAAAAGATAACCTGGCACGTCTATAACGTTATTTTAATGCAACATAAACTATATCCATATTAACGATATTGTCTTATCATATATCTTGTTTGAAAATATATCGATATATCTTAAAAACTTGATATATTGCCCAGCCCTAAGTTGTAGGTGTGTACATGTTGGTGGGGGGGACACCAGACCCCCAAGGAGAAGGAGCCCCCCTCCTAAAAGACACACAGATTTGTTGTCAGGACAAGGTTTCATATGTTGCCAAAACCAATCTTCATAGTCCTTCAAAGCAGACCAGTAAGATACTTTGCTAAGAATTGATGTGCATGCCCTCACCGTAAGAATTTTTTCAGGTCAACTGAAAGATTTTGTAGATTTCAACCGTGGTAGAAATCCATGAGGCAGCATCAGTCCCTCTAACTGAAATATAAGCACTAACTGTGTTCCAGCCATGTATAAAATCAATTAATGTTTCAAATTTGTGTTTGTCTCCACAGGCACCATGGTCAACTACGCAGCTTTCATGCGGACGCATTGGGTAAACGTATTCCTACCCATCGGCGTATTTTTGGGGATGTACTTAGACAGTCTACAGGAACAGAAGCTGACAGGCTTCAGGAACAAAAGTGCTTTGTACAGCAGGTAAGGATGAAAACAAACCAAGTTTAGAACCATGCTTTCGTAATCTGCGTCACTATAGTTTATCAGTTATTGAAAAAAAAAAAAAAAGTGAGGAATTTCCCCACTGCATTCCCATCTACCCATATTACTCTTCTCAATGTTCAGAGCTCCACATGACCTCTTTAGGTCAACAGAGAGTTCAAACCAAAGACCACCCTTCTATTTCAGGGGCTTAAACCAGCAGATATTTAACATGTTTGCTTGAAAATTGACCAAAATTCGAAATCAATAATCAAAATATTTTTGATTAAATATTCTCTAGATTGTAGAAACTCTAGTTGAACTTTTTTTTTTTTTTTCATGCATTTAGCTGAATACCTGGTAATCAAAGCGAAACATGGGATAACAGGAGCAAGACTCAAATGTTAATATATTATGACTCTTCGGTAAACCCAAATATGATGGCAGATGGCATCATTTTCCGCTTGGTACCAAAACAAGCGTCAGCCGACGAAGAGACACCTCCCACCCCCCACCAAGGATTGTTTTCACTGCTGAACTCTGGAAAGAAGTTCCGCAGCCTCCGAACCAGAACTTCCAGGTTCTGTAACAGCTTCTTCCCACAGGCCATCAGACTTTTAAACACAAAAAAATAATCCCTCCATTCCCCCTCAAATCCCCACACAGGACTACCTCACTGGACTGTAAAATACATCAAACGTGCAATATATTTATCTGTATAGTAATTTTATACATAGCTTTTGTTTTTATATCTGCACCTTATTTTTCTATGTAAATACTTGCTGCTGTTTTTATCCTGCACTACGAGCCAAATGCAACAAAATTTGTTCTTATCTGCACTGTAAAGTACAAGTTTGAATGACAATAAAGAAAGTCTTAAGTATAAAGCCAGAAATGTCGATACAATTTGCTTGCATCTAAAGAAAAACTTGCCTGACATCGAGGTCATCCAGTGTAGTTCGGGGATGTTTGCTCATGAAACTTTCTGACTTATGTTCTCTTTAGGGAGCTGAAGCCAGGTGAGGAGACGACCTGGAAGTAGACCACCCAGACCTGAACGGAGTCCTTTCATCTGTGTTGCAATGACTGATGGGCGACCCCTCAAATCAGCATATTTAAGACTCTTCTATTTCCTTTAATGAGTTGTATCAACCAATAAAAACATGTACTTTCCCATCAAACCACACGCTGGTGATCCTCATTATATAAAACACATCATTTATGTTTTTTTAAAAACCTGGTTTATTTGATGCTTTATGCAGTACACTCATGTATGACGGCTGTTCAGTGTGAGAGCCTCCGGGGAGTTAATGAAGACTACACGGGACAAGGACATTTCACATTCCAATCTTATTCTGTTCAAAGACAGTTAGAATCTATTCATGTAGTCGCCGTGACTGAAGAGTCTGTGGCCACTACAGAGGCTCTGCTGTGCGGATAATCCCCCTCTCAAAGAGCAGCTCAGCCAAAGAGATCTGGAGGGGAAAAAGAACCACATTAGAGAGAACTTCAACCTTTCAAAACAAAATGCTCAAATGTTAATCAGTTTGCTAAAATATCTCTAAAACTGGATTTTTTTTTTTTTTTTAAGGTTTATTTTTGGGCTTTTTATGCCTTTATTTAGAGAAAGGACAGTGGATAGAGTGGGAAACCCCGGAGAGAGAGTGGAGAATGACGTGCGGGAACGGAGCCACAGGTCGGATTTGAAAGGCGGGGTCACCTTGTTGGAGGGTTATAGCCTCCGTACATGGAACACATGTATTAACCACTAGGCTACTGGCACTCACAAATCGGATGTTTTTTTTTTTAAATAACGACTTAATAACCCTAGCGAATAGTTATCCTTCTGTCCGAAACATGACAGTACAAAGAAAAGATAATTGAATAAACAGTATCACATGTCAGCAGAGGTTGTATGAACTATTGGCAGCCTACCTTGTCCTCTGCAGAATCACACGGGAAACTTCCTACAGTCACAAATTTGGGATATGAATGGATCAAAAACTCCATGGCATCAGTGTGCTGAAAGATAACAAAAATAAATAAATAAGGCAGTGACAAAATCCTTCAGAGAACTTTGTGCAACTCATAATCACAACAGATCGTCCATGTACCTCTGCGTTCATTTCAAAACTCTTGGGCTCCTCTTTGTGGTAAACTCTGGAGTTGTCTGTTGTGTGGTAAAGACGAACAGCTTCTCCATCGCTGCACAACCTGAGAGGAGAGAGAGCCACAGTTTCAAGTTTCTGCTTTTAAAGGATCTACGACAGCTGTTCTTCATTCTGAATTCAACATCGTCACTACTTTTATACGGCCGATTGCAAACCTGCTTCGATGCAATACATTTTTTTTTTAAAAGTACCTGGCACATCCGGCACGGAGAAGCCTGACTCTGGTCTGGGTAGTGATTTGTTTACCTACATCCACAACCTGACCTCGCTCCCATCTAGCAGGTGCTCCCTGCACACTGCTGGCCAATTCCTCTGAGGGAGATCCAATAAAAAAAAATAATGAATTCAAAGCTTTACGGCGTGCTTTAACGCACCAAGAGTTCTTTCTTAAAAATGGATAATAACCATCAATACCTGGAGTGAGCATGGGAGGGAGGCAGTCGTGCAGGAAGCCTCTAGCTTTCTGATCCACTGCGGCATCAACGGGGGCGTAGTTTATAAGCTTCTTCATCAGACTCTCGATTCTTGAGAAGAATTTTGTCCTGCGTGGGTTTTCCTACACACCGCGAGGAGGACCAGGGTCATTAGTGACGAGCCAAAAGGTCATGATGCTTGAAAAAGAAAGTTATGAGTGAATATGAAATAACTGTTTACCATGTCAGAATTTTGAACTCCCATGTATGTCAGGTAGTCTAGAGGTAAGCCCTGTCTGAACTCCACATCCTCCTCCGTCGCCACTTCCAACGCAGCAGGAACCAACTACAAAAAAAAAAGAAAAGAAGACGGTTAAACAGTTAAAGTGGCAGTAAGCAACATGAACAGTACTCCAAAGGAATGCAGCCACTGTTTTTGTAACCTGCCTACAACCCCAAAAAAAAAAAATCTCCTCATAGAGTCGCT